ATTTATTTGGACATTTGGTGCACTAAAGACATTGGGTATTAACGTGTTTATTAATGCTTTTGTTGGTTTTTCAATCAATTCTACTTCAGTATAGTCATGCACTGACTCATCTTCAGATTGATTAAACAGTGTGTGTAAACAAATTGGAAGCACAGTGACAGCTTGCACTAGTGCATAATGTACAGCATTGTCAACAACACTCAGATCACATATATAACTTATTGAATTTTGCAAAAATGCAAAAAGTCTGTTAATCTAGTGTTTTTGATAATCCACTACCACTCTGGTTCCATAAGTGTTGGATTAATAACTTTTTCTGTAGTTTTGAAATTTAATAATATAATTGAAAAAAGGAACTATTTTATTTAGGGATGATTTAGTTTCCTTATAGATTCTTACATGTTAAATTAAATACAAAAATTATGATTATTTGTACTACTTTTGACATATTCAGATATAATGAATTGAAATTCTAGAGTTTATTAAGCTGCTGAATATTTTTTAAAGAAAATTAGATCAATTCAAATTTTAATCCAAACATTTGCATCCAAATTTTTGTTCTTTTACTGAAAACTGAATGGAATATCAGTTCTAGTAATATAGGGAAAGTTTAGAAAAAAAAACTTAAGCAAAAGGTTAAAATTTTGAAAACAATAGGAAATTAATTATTATTAATAACTTGTTTCATTTATAATGATAGTTGGAAAACATTAAATTTTCATTTTAGATATATAGTTTAATACAGCAGTTTCCAAATGGGGTTGCCACTTCTCATGGGGTTGTGTGGACTCCTTTTCATAAACATTATTTCAGTTTAAAAATTTTTTTAAAGATATAATTAATAAAAAAAATAGAAATTGAATACAATAAATTTATGAAATTGCAATATTAGCACTGACTGACAACAATAACGGCAGTTATGCTATCAATAGCTCGTGTTTTCTATCAGAAAACTAGTGCAAATGCCCAGAAAAGTCAGTTGTTATGTTTATCAATTGTATTTAGTCTAGATACTATGTAATTTTCAACTACCAAAGTAAGAATGTAGACAAAACTTGATTGGAGAAGATTGATTTAAATGAACTAAAAAGAATTAGGGTATGTTGTGGAGATTATTATTAATGACACTAGATGAACATTTATATTTTTATTTATTGTGCTTTGTGTTTCTTGATTTTTATTTTAAAAGTTTATTTTTTAAGTGTTTGTTTTTTTGTCTTAGAAATATAATTTTACTTAATAAAACTGTTCTTTTACACAACTTTTTTGGTCATGTTGATTATCATCATCTCTAATATTATCTGTATATTAAAATGTAAATTTTAAGAAGATATTATGTAGATACATAGAAAATGAATGCAGTGCATTATCACTATACTGAAATAGTTTTTATTTGCTCAGTTATGAAATTCAAAAAAAGATTACAGCACTAGATCATTTATGTATTGAATGTGAATTGGTAATGGGAATTATATGAGAAGAAAAATCGAAACAATCTAGAATTTAACTTCTATAATAAATAATTATAAACATTGATTTAATAAGATATTANTGTCGCTTCGCGTTGAATTTTCATCGATGTTAAGCCTAATGTAAACTTTTTAAAATAATAATCGTGGCTATTGTATCGTTAAAAATTATTTCTTTATTTTTTTACAAACAAAATAAATATCTTGAAAAATATAAAAACAAAAGGAATTTATACTTTAGAAGTTAATCTAGTATCAAAAACATTCGATTCAGCACGACACACAGTCTTCAGAAAAACACTACACATAAGTGCCAGTGCTGCCAGCTAAAACACACACACACATCAACAAAAAAATATTGGATTAGCCAAAGACTGCAGCACCACAGCACTAGTGAAAATTTAAATTTGCCAATTGGAATGCTTTTGGTTAACTGGCTTTCGGATAAACGACGCTCTACTGTATTTAGTAACTGAGAGTGACTATTTTTGATCATTGCTATGTAATTATTGACTTAAGTTACATTATACATCTTGGAATATATATGTATGATAATGATTAAATCATGACTTGGAATTCTTTTAGCTTTCATAACTTTTCTTTATGGTTTATGTATATTTTGTATATCCAGTTTTAGTGGAATTTGATCCTATAAAAACATTTTTTAAAATATTTTATTTTTAAATGCAATAAATGAAAATGCAGAAATTTGATTATAAATCTATTATTGTTTGTATTGCTATATTGCTACTCTATATCTATGCAATAATAAATGTAAATAACAAAAAAACATCTACTTTTCTTACTGTAAAAGCTACAAACATAGTTGTTGTTGATTGTTTTATTGGGAAATATAGGCCAGTACATATTAATTTTTTCCTGTTTATAAAAAGAATAAAACTAAAAATAATGCTGAAAAAATATATTGCTAAAATAATGCTGAAAAAATATATTGCTAATTTTAGAAATATAGTTAAATCCTATCTATACTTTTCTGCAATTATATATTAAATATTTTCTTTGTTACAAAACACTTCAGTTATACATTTTTCATTTATGTGCTTTTGCACTTACAGTATGGTAATGTTAATCTGAAGTAATTGAAACTGGTGGTGAACTACCACCAGATTAATGGGGCTATGATAGTAGGGATATGATGTTTATACTTTGAAGCCATTTTTTACTACTGTACAATAATTTACAGCAGTAAATAGAATTTAGTCAGAGTTGTTAAGTCAAACAGGATCACAGAAAGAATGAGCAACAATGTTCACGTCATGTGACATGTTTATTTTAGATGTGAGCTGCAGTCCATTATTTTAGTTAGGGAAACAGTAGAAGCCATTTAGGGGTTCAGATTAGTATGACTATTGTATATGTCATATTTTTTTGTATCCTATAGCATTTTGAAATACAAAAATTGAAAGTAATTATTTAGAAAAAGTGAAAGGGGAAATTATGGATTCACTTTACGTTAGTCCACACTGACAGCAAATCAATCACCAACAAATGCAAAGCATACACTTAACATGTGACACCATTTCTGACAAATTTTCCCATTTAGCAGATTGCTCTAGCAATTTAACATATTGAAAATATTTGCTTACCATGTCTTACAGTGTGAACCAATTTTACTAAATAAATAAAAAAATTTCATTCTGGTTTTGCATTTGTTTTCACTATTTGCTGTTGGTGTGGACTAATCTTTAGATTCACCCTTCATTCTTTCATGTGACTGGAGATTTAGCAACTGATGTCACATACTGATCAGTATGTGGCAAGTCTATCAAAAACAAGAAACAAACAAAACTTGATGAATTTTTTAAAAGTACATGATTTAATTTTACACTGTTTTACTTTTTCTTTTATATGTTGTTTAAATGTATTATACATGTCCAGTAAAACTGTCCAAAATGGAACCTGAATAAAGCAGAAACCTGGCTAAATGGGAGAATCTCTTCAGAACAGAGTGATCTTCTATTTCAAAAAAAACCTGTTCAAAAACCAGAAAAAATATTTAATACTGTGTGATTCTGGTTCACACAGTTTTACAGCATAGTAAATTGAAATTTATTTGTTAAGAATACAAATTCAGTTGTGCAGCGTTAATTTGACTGTTCTGTACTTTTATGGCAGCTGTATTCACTCCTGAAAACAATTTAAAAGCAGTTTCACTTTTGTTTTTCTCAGCTTCCTTAAAAATATATATAAATGGTGTTTGACTATATGCTAAAAAAAATACATAAATTATCCAAAAAATCAACAACTATAAGAAAAAGAAAATATGGATTTTTTTGCATAAGGAAATGAATGATGAGCATTGACCATTTTGTATAGTTTGTAGTGAAATTTTAGTAGAATAGAGCTTATTAACAGACTTCAAGTTCTTGAGGACAACTTATAACAAATCACCTAATGTATGTTGAAAAACCTATGAATTTTTTGAAAAAGTCCAAATCTCAAAAATTGAACCTTGATATTTAGTGAGCTTTGTGATAAAATTCAAGATCACTTAAAATGACTGAATTAATTTTTAAATTTAATTTAATTTTGCTTTATTATTTTTTTAATTATTTTCTGAATTGGGAACCATTGTTTTATCAGTATTTAGGATAAGAAGTCGAAGAGTGATGCTAATGATTATTGTTAAATCATAAAGACAATTCACAACATACAGTTGCTATACAATGACTGATTAATAGTGGCAATGAAATTGTGATGACTCAATGCAGTCTTTGGATTAATAGACAAAGACTGCATTGAAAAGAATTGTGAAAAGAGTATTATCACATACTGCAAATGTGATTCTTTCTATAGTAAGAATAATGCAGTCTTTCAGATCCTGCAAAAAAAATAACTTGTAACTAGCAAATAGCATAATATATACAGTGTGTGTATATATATATATATAATGTTGATATAATACAGCAGAAGTTTTTGTACTCAGTACTGTTTTTATATATTCCATGACAGCATAATTTTCATAACTCTTCATATGGAAATTATATCTCTGTATCTACTAATGTACTAAGTTAGTGGTTCCCAAAGTGTGTGCCACAGCTTCCTCACAGGTGCACCATGAAATGTTATAAAATTTTTATAATGTTAGAATTTAATGTGCTTGTTAGAATTCGTATAATGTACTTGTTGGAATTTGACATAGGGCTCCTTTGGAAAATCTGCATTTAGCAAGAGCTCCTAGAATCAAAACAGTTTGGGAACCATTGTACTTAGTACATTAGTAGATTAGTAATTATGATGTAACTCATTTGAAAAGATAAGTGTACTAAGTAATTGTCATCTACATATAATCTGAATTTAATTAGCATATAATATAATTCTAATGGAACTGTTGTATGACTTGTATGCATGAAATTTTAGATGCTTGTGCAGCATATGCACTATGGATCAAAGATACTGAATGTATGATTGCTACTTAAATGGATGTATTAAAATCATTTCATTTTGTTTTAGTAAATTGCTAAAATGTAGTATTTTGAATTATAATTGTTTAAAAATTTTTATTTTTAGATATATTTTCTTGGAGTATTCTTGTCCAGAGCATGCAATGGAGGCTGTCAAAATGGCAAATGGATATAGATTGGATAAACAACATATTTTTACAGTGAATCTTTTTACTGATTTTGAAAAGTAAGAATTGTTATTCTTAATTTGAAGAAAAATTTTTGATTGGGTGCATTTAAAGAATGAATAACACACCTTTTTAGTTATCCAACATAAAACACCTACATATGTTATGTTAGACAACACAGAAAATAGTCTACACTGTTGCTTTTTGATATATACTTTCTTTACACTGAAGAACTTTTTATTAATTTCTTGTTAGTTGGTGAGTATTCTGTTTTTCTGGATGTTAACATGAAGACAGAATTAATGTACTCCTAGAACTTATATCTGGTGTGACAAAAGAAAAAACAAAAGATAAAGTTTACCACAAACGTTTTCGAACAAATGTCCAATCATCTTTGACATCCTCCACAATGGGAAAGACCCCCAAACCAGAACAGACTCCCTGGTGCGTATAGTATTCCTATTAGGGACAACAGATTTGATAGGGACCTCATTTACATCAGATCCACCAAACGCTCCTTGGAGGTCATAGTACAGGAGCACATAGTGGACATACATCATAACAGAAATACCACTGCCCTCGCCACGTATGCTGCAGATCCAACATTGTGGCGGCCTTCAACCAGGCGACGCTCATCCGCACTACGTCACACGCGGAACACCTTAAGTGGCTAGAGGCCATTCACATTTATAAATTGACCCTCAATGACAACTGCATCAATTTTAAAGATGAGTTGGTTCTGTCTCTGACCTGGCAGGCATTGATGGACTCTGAACTTTAAGTGTGATGATATGTCAGCCATACGAATATGCATGTGCGTCTCATATAACACCTTCGAATGTTTCTCGAATTTCCTAAACCATTCACTCTGATCCATCAGAAATTCCATTTTACACCCGAAGAAGAACTCACAGCAGTTCGAAAACGTTTGTGGTTTATCTTTTGTTTTGTTTTTTTTTTTCGTAACACCGGATATAGGTTCTAGGAGTACGTTATTTAACACAACCCGGTGTTTTGTGGTGTAGCTTACTTTTTAGTAAAGACAGAATTATCATGATACACAAAAGGATTTGCACAACATTTTTAATGTCGTTGCCATAGAAGATTTCTGTTCTTTATTTTATTTTTCAAAAGTAATCTATAGCATCATGCACAAAGAGAATCATTAAAATTATAAATGTAATGATTTTTTTTAAATATAAATACAAACAATCAAAATAATTGTTTTTTTCTTTATAGTTCATGTGTTTTGATACTTCAGTGGCATAATTAATATGTGCAATGTTATAACTAGTTTTTGGGAATTGATTTTTGAGCATTGTTCTGAAGTAATTTTTCTTCTAAACATTCCTACATAGTTATTAAAATTTGTAAAGATGTCTAATCATTTATTAATAAGCTTAATAATAATACTATCTATTTTTAATGTTAAATTGTTTAATTATTCATAATAAAGAAATCCAACAATTTGTATCATTTGGCTTAAAGTTTAATTAGGCTTATATTATTTATTTTATCAATTGCTATTGATTTTTTAGTATAAAAATAACTAATATATTATTTTCAGATATGAGAATATTCCAGATGAGTGGGAACCACCAAAACCACAACCTTATGTTGATCATGTAAGTTTTAATAGTTATTTAAGATAATTAAATATTAATATATATAATATTTTATTATTATTATTTACTATTAATCCAGGGTAATTTGAGATATTGGCTAATGGAACCTGAATGCTATGATCAATACAGTGTAATGTATGATGCGGGAAAGAAAACTGCTATATATTTAAATAGTCAGCCTGAACCTGTTTGCTTAAAAGAACGTGAAGTAAGTAATTTTAATTTTTGTCTGAGAAATAGTAAAAATTTTAAAATTTACTAAAGTAAAAATGCATTAAATTCAGATTGTTAAATACAGTTTATTTGAAAATATATTTTATATTAGAAAGTAATATAATAACAAAAAGTTAAAATGTGATTTTAATATTACTTCCAAGTTTAATTATAAATTTTGTTTAAAATTTTGTAAATTAAAAGGTTTATTGTTTTTAAGAAAGTGAAAATTCACATTTTCAAATAAACTTTATCTGACAGTTTGAATTTAATAGTTCCTGTTCTTGGGCTGAGGATGATACCAAGTTTTGTAGCCTTTGTTGTGTAGTATGTGATCAAAGTGGGAATAGCAAGAAGTGATGCAAAGAGTTTCATAAAACTACAAGTTGGTAATGCTTGACAGGTCTATTATGCATCACCAACCCCCAATGATGGCTCATTATCATTATTTAAGTGCTGTGATAACTATAAGTCTCTTATACTACAGAACAGATAAAATTTTCCAGTGAAATATTATATAAAGAGGAAAGGTACCAAATATTAAAATGATGGTTTATGCAAAAATATTCTAAATTATCTGTGCCTAACTGCACAACACATTGGAATGAATATATAAAAAGTGTGTGACTCACATTAACTAAATAACCAAGTGCATATAATTAACATTTGCAAATGTTTTCACAATGTTAATCAAATGCACTCCGGTTATTTGGTTAATGTGAGTTGCACAGTTTTTATATATCTGTGCCTATAAAGGCTTTATGTTTCCAGTCTGTTTAATAAATGATGGTTCTTGGAAGCTGTGAATAACAAAAGAAAGAGATTTTATAGACAAAGTTATGTTAAGAAGGACTTCAAAACATTTGAGTATGCATAGAAACAAATCCAACAAATCTTTAAAGTGTTTATCTAGAAAGAGTGGATTATCATAATTTTTATTAGGCAGCTATGAACAAAATCAAATTTATGCCTTATAAAATAAGAATTTTTCATAAATTTTTATTTATTTATAATTTCAAATGTTATCTTCTGATGCAATAATAAATATTTAGAATTTAAGTGATTTTTGTAATGTGTAACAAGGCATTAACAAGCACAGCTGATTCACAAGGCCACAAATCTAATTCATGATGCTCTTGCACTACTACTCACGATTTTCATTGTTTTCTTGTTTGATCACTCAATGTTACAATAATTTAAAACTTGATATTTAATTATTGTTCATTTAATTTTATAATCATATTGTAGACATTTTATCATTTATAATTTGAAATATTTATTTTAAAAGGGATGGACTGAAACATGTGTTATGTGGTCACCTCTAGGAACATACCTTGCAACTTTTCATCCAAGAGGTATAGCTTTATGGGGTGGTGAAGAATTTGTACAGATAATGAAGTTTAGTCATGCTGGAGTGCAATTTATTGATTTTTCACCTTGTGAAAAGTAATAATAATAATAACAACAAAAAATTTCAAAAATATTATATAAAAAATTAAAAAACTTTTCCTTTCAGTTATTTAGTTACATTTAGTCCTATACCAGATATTAAAGAAAATTCTCAGGTTGTAATTATTTGGGAAATTAGGACAGGCATGAAGAAAAGAAGTTTTCATACTCAGCACTGGCCAGTTATAAAGTAAGTGTTAACTAAAATTCGATACAACAAATTTTTATGAATATTTTTTCATTTAGGAGTACGTTATATTTATGTATTTTAAAATTAATTTCAACTAAAATTTAGAAATAACAAGATGCTTAAATATAATAATAAAATTTAGGAATTTATTTTAAAACTCCCAGAAAAATTTTGAGAACTTTTTGGTGTTGTTTGAATTTTTTAATAAATTCTTTTAAGTAGAAAAATTCTGAATATGACAGCTCTGTTAGTTTTAAAAATTTTTATTTTGTAACATTTAGGAACTATGCAACTTGTCAATACAACTGGAAAAAGATTATATAAGGAAAGTTGTTTATACCATCGCATGTCTTATATAAAGATTTTTGACATATATANTATATATATAAAAAAAAAAGGAAATGAGGAAATTATTACTAACAATTTAATGGAGTTCATTGTTTTATTTGAATTATTCATTCACTTTCTATGAATTTTATTTTATATTATTTTTGTTATTATTATTAAGTGAAAGTTTATTAATTTGTTCAAAGAAAATTAGATAAGAGTAAATATTTTTTCAAAACTTTTACATTACTACTACTTTACAAATTAGAATAATTTAATGAAATTTATCCGAAACCAAGTTAGTTGACATAGATAATAGGAATCTTTTATATTTATTAATGTTCTCTTATATAATGTATTGATTTTATAATTATTAAAAAATAAATATATTAGAATTTTATTTCCGATTGTTAATTTCAAAAATAATGAAGTTATTAAATTTTTTAAATAGATGGAGTTATGATGATAAATATTTTGCAAAAATTGGTCAAGATGTTTTGAGTATATATGAAACACCTGTAAGTAAATAATAATAGAAATTAAAATTAAATATTGATGTTTTTAAATACTAAGTTTTAGATTTTAAGATATTTCACATTTTACGGATTAAATCTGTAACCTAAATGATGTATCTGCACAATATCAGACTGTTACTGACTTAACATATTGTAGATTTGCTCTTCTGACTTTTGAATATTATTGTTAAATAGATAATTGTAACAGAATTTACAATTATCAATTTACAATATATTTTACATAGTGATTGTAATTTTTTAAGTTTTAATAATAAATCAAAATAAATCAAGTATTAATTTTAACATTTTATTAAAATTACAGTATTTTAAAAAATATGATAGATAAAAAGAATCAGTTACTATATTTAAATATAAAATATATGAAAACTTTATATTATATTAAAGGTTTTTTGTACAAACTAACTGAATGACTCATTCAGTCACTCACTGACGTGAAATAGCTCAGTAGAAATAACTTCTTACAGAAAGAAAAAATGACACAGTTGAAGAATAGATATTGAGCACCGAAAAATCTGAAATATCAACAAAATAAAATAATTTATACATTACAAGTCATCAGAGTTTAATTTTTTATGTCACTTTAACAAAATGAGATCATGAGCATTTGATTTTGTCATCTTCCTATTTTCAAAGATGAAAAAAAAAAGCAATCACTCTGATGTTCAAAATTGTTCGTTAATATTATTTTTCTCTGCATTATTTGAGACTATAATGTTTTCTTTTTCCTTATTATCAATTATTATTATTTATAATAATTTTGGTAATAGATTAAAAAGATCTGATATTTATTTGTTTGTGTGTGTTTGTACACTAAGGACTTTGCTCCTTACAATCTTCAGTGATCCAGTCTGAGTTTTTAATCATTTAGCAACGTTCTCTGCATTTTAGTAATTTAAAATATATTTATATATATAGAATTATTATTTATTTTATAATAATTGATCATAATTATTGAAATGGATTTTTATTTAATATAGAATTAATAAAACAATTTAATACATACATAAATATATCATCTATATTACACTGAAAATTTATGAATCTGATTTAAGAAAAATTTTTTTCAGTCATTTGGCTTATTAGATAAGAAGAGTTTAAAAATACCAGGATTAAGGTAATATTTATATCTCTATTGTTTAGGAAAGCATTAATTGTTAATAGGAAAAATAAACGTACAATAATAATCATACTTCATATTAAATTTTANTTAAATTAATAATCAATTTTTATAATTTAGAAATTTCCAATGGTCTCCAACCAGTAACATAATTGCTTATTGGGTTGCTGAAGATAAAGATGTTCCGGCACGTGTGACACTATTAAAAATACCTAGTCGTGATGAATTGCGAGCCAAAAATCTTTTTAATGTTGCCGACTGTAAAATGCACTGGCAAAAATCAGGAGCACATTTGTGTGTTAAAGTTGATAGATACAGCAGATCTAGAAAAGAAAAAAATGAATATAAATACAGTGTAAGAAAATTTAATTTTTAAATGTAAGATTTTTTAAAATGATTTTTTAAATTTTGTATTGTATATTACAGGGAATGTACTATAATTTTGAAATATTTTATATGAATGAAAAGCAAATACCTGTGGATAATATAGAAATAAGAGGTAAGTGCCTGCTTATTACAATCACTCGTATACATTCTACATGTAAGAGTTACTGTAATGTAGCTACAGTGCAACAAGTATGCAGTATTGTACCATTAATCCTGTTGCTTAAAAAAGTCAATGAATGTCTGCTGTTTCTTTCAAAATTTTCCATTTGTTGTCTGAAGCAATCACATGTCAAATTGCATCAGTTACAATATTTTTTCAGGGACGACTGGATGGCTAAGTGATCAAGGTGGCAGTCTACCACTCTGAGAGACCTGGGATTGAATTCAGACGGGTTGAAAAATTTCCAAGAAATTTTTTGGGGGTTGTTTCGGCTGGATATGTCAGTCCCTGTCTCTCACCACCTGGCCACCCCATTGTGGGCCTGGATGAATCCATTATGGGCTTGCTAAAAGAGGCCCTTTAGTGACCACAGGGTGGAAAGAGTTTATTTGATGCTAGTCATAGTGTACCTTGAAACATTTGATGTTGGCAGCATCAAGTGGCTGAAGTAAATCAATACACTTTGCAGAAAATTAATTTTTGCTGCAGACAGAAGCTCAATTTTTACATTGCCGAGATTTTTTTATGGTAAGGAGTATTATCACGCAGTAACAATATGAAATTTTTTCCTTCTTATTGGCATCAAATTCTTTCAACCACTGGCTAAACTCAGGTATAGAGATGACCTCTATGAAATCTAAAACACCTCTGAAAAAGCCAATTTCCTGGGATGTAAAATTGGATTTTCATTATTTGAAGCTTAAGTTTAAAGTTATTATGCTTCCTTTTCTGTTTTCTGTATATACATGTTACCGCTAAAGCTCAAAATCCGTTAATGTGTACATTACCTAGCTAATCTGCAGATTAACTAGGGTGATCCGTTAAAGCTGCGAAAATTGTTCAATTTCTCAAATTACCTAGGTAATTTGCAGAGTATCTAGGTAATCTGCACATTAACGGCTTCCGTATCGTTAAAGTTCAAAAGTTTGTTTCTTTCACTTCCTTTCCCCACTCCTTCTTTTTACGTAGATAAATTTAAATCCTAGAATGCAAGCAAGCACCGAATTGGTGAGTAAAATCAAGAAAAGATTCTTCGCAAACCTCTTTAGCGAAGATTTAAAATATAATACGTAGTGTTTTAATAACAAACCAAAGTATGATTCCATAATTGAAGATGTAAAGCAAATAAAAGTTTCCAAGAAGAAAGAATCATCTCGAGATTATCAAATAATTCAAAGGTGTGATGTGTTGACTGTACGAGGCTGTGAAAAACTCATTGAGCCGTTGTCAGATGCGCGAGAAAGGTTTGAAAAAGTTTGTCCATGCCGGAGAATTGTTTGACATTCGATAAAAACTGAAGAAGACCTTGAAAAATTAGAAGATTCACAAGAGACTGTGATTATGAGATCACAGTCAAATCTTACTCAAGAGGACATTCCGTTATCCCCCGCTTCTACAGAATCACCTATAGAAATACAAGAATTTACCGATAGTAATCTTAAACTGCCTTCTATACCGTTGATTGATGATGCAGTCACGAAGAATATTCAGTTACCCTGCACCTCCAAGGAATCGCCTCTGCAAGTTGAAGAAGTCATCACTGAGTTACTCTCAACTTCAGCAGAATCGCCATCACAGTTTCGTACGGAGCCTGTAAAGAGCACTATACAAGACATAGTCTGTATTGTTTGCTCAAAAGCAGCATCAAGTGCTCACAAGTGTAAATCGTGTAATATGTTTGTTCACGCAGTTTGTGGTGAAGTAGATCCTAAAGAGGAAGGGTATGGTAAGAATGTATTGTGCATCATCTGTAAAAAGAATATGGATCAGAAAATACAGCGTGATGAAGCCAAGAAATGTTTAGAAAAGCAAGCAAAGAAAATGTTAGCAGTTTCTAATGCAAAGCACCCAAACGTCGATGAAGGTTTCGCTGTGAGAATTAAAGTACCCGAAGAAGACAGAGCAAAAACTGATGCACGTTCAATTTTAGCTGTGGTTCTTAGTAAAACAGAGGATGGCTTTTATAAACTTGATACTAAAACAGGTATTTTAAAACAATTGTATGCAAAATCTGAATTCAGTGTTTGCAAAGAGAGATTTTTAACGAAAGAAGATGGATGTCCCTGCTGTAGAAATATCTTTACGTCAAACAGCAATAAAACAATCCCTTGGTACTGGGCAGGGTTTCAGAAAATGTGACTGCAAATCTAAATGTACCACAAATAGGCGTGCTTGTCGCAAAAACCAATTGCTACGTAATTCAAAGTGTCACCAATCTTTAGATTGCACTAATAAGTAAGTACAATTTTATCATATGTTTTGCAAATTCATTTCCCTAATTGTAATAATATTTTAAACCGTTTGATTTTTGTATTAAAGTTTTTTTAATTGATTGATGATTGATTCAATCAACTAATTTGTTGATTGTTTGATTGTATTAACTTGATTCTTTAGATATTGAAAATTAAATAAAGAACATTATGTTAATTTAAGCGTACAGAAAGAAACGTTGCTGTTGTTCCAGCAAAGATCTTATTTTCACTTTACCGAGTGCCTAGTAGGTAATTCGCAGATTACCTAGATAATCTGCAGATTACCTAGGTAATTTGAGAAATGGAATAATTTTCGCAGCTTTAACGGATCACCCTAGTTAATCTGCAGATTAGCTAGGTAATGTACACATTAACGGATTTCGAGCTTTAGCGGTAACATACATATTAAAAGCAAAATGTTTTGTCCCCACTGAAACTGAAACAAACCAGCACGTTACAAAAAAGCAGCATGTAAGTAGGTCACAGGTGGGGCTACAATTCATTTCTTAAAAAGACCACCTGTTAACTTCCTCTTTGGACTCTGTTTTTTGTTTTTGTCTCAGGTCTTTGTGTAGAGTTAAAAGCAAAATGTTCCATCACCGCTGCATACAAATAAAACAAATTTAAAATTAATTTGATTTAAATTTGAAATTTCAAAACAACTTTTAAATGTTTTTTAAAAATGTTTTAATTAGTTTTGATTTTATTTTAGTGTAAAGGCCAGAGTTTAAATTATTATCTTTAATTTTAATTAATTTTTAGTATTTTTTTTAGTTTTTATAATTATTTTTAATAATAATTAATTTATTATTATTTATTTAATTTTGCCTGCATTTTTTGAACCCTTAATTACAATTTTTAAATTAATTGCAACTAGTTTTTCGTGACATAACTATTGAAATTGTTTTAGTGTTGTTTCGCAGAAAAGAAAATCAAATTTAAATTTTAATCTTTTAAGTAATTTCATTAATTTCTGTCCTGAAAATTTACTTGCTTTTAAAAAAGTTTTAAAAATTTTAATTATAAGCAATTTAATATTAATTGAACTATTGGGGTATTTAGTGTAGGTATAATTAAGAAATAACACGAATGTTTAACCTTGCATATTTATTATGATGTTAAATTACATTTAATTACAATAATACAGCGTCACATCACAAAAATGTTCAAATAATATAGCATTCATTTGTGCACTGTCATTGCAATTTCACTGCACGATGTTGTTATGTCACTTGGAAATAAGAAAATTGATGACATATGTCAACTTACATTGTACAGTACTTATCACTGTATTGGACCTTTCTCAAGTTGGATGCAGGACTTTTGCAGGTGTTAAATCAGAGATGCGATGAATTGTTTTGGAACATATGTGAAGAAATTTGTGTTGGTAGATTGCAGTAATTTCCATTTGGGTTTCCATATGAATTTAATGGATGAAAGATTTGTGTGCACATATTTTGTGGCAGAGTGCGAGGCTGGTGCCAAACCAGGGATTGTATTTAACAATAGAAATGCTTAACAAACATCTTCTTAAACTTTGAAAAAGTTGCTACTATATAACTGCAGTTGTATTTTTCCAATGTAAAATCCTGCCAAATTTCAGGCTTAAAAAGTTGACTTATTTGCCAGCATATATGTCAATGAAATATTAAAATATATAAAACATAGTGATCTTTTAAAATTATAATTTTCTGAATTTATACTTGCTAAGTTCACAAAACAGATTACTTTATATAATGGAATTTGATTATTTTTTAAAAAATTGTATGTTATAACTAATTTTTATATTTTATTGGTGTATGAATGATGATAATTTTATATATTTCATTTACTATTACAGATAGCATTACAGCCTTTGCTTGGGAACCAGTTGGAAGTAAATTTGCTATAATCCATGGAGATAGTCCACAAATAAATGTCAGTTTCTATGAAATAAAACCTGGAGGAACTATTAGTTTGTTAAGTAAGTATTATAAAATAATGAATGCATTAAATAAAATATATATTTTTATGTGTATATTTTAATTTTTGCATGTTAACTACATGTTATATATATAAAGTGTTGTTATTTTTACAGAAAAATTTGAACGCAAACAATGTAATCATTTATTTTGGTCACCAAATGGACAGTTTATTGTATTGGCTGGATTAAGAAGGTTATAAATTGTTTATTCATAATTTTTTTCTTTTTCTTTTTTATTGTGTTCAAAAATGATTTGATTTTATTTTCAGTATGAGTGGTACTCTTGAATTTGTTGATACTTCTGATTTCACAGTCATGTCACAGGCTGAACATTTTATGGCAACAGATGTTGAATGGGATCCAACAGGAAGATATGTAATTACTGGTGTTAGTTGGTGGATTCACAAAGTAAGTATTTTTTTAATTATAAAATTCTTAAATTTTTATAGGATCTTAAGTGAACACATTTAAGGTTTTTCAATTAGTCAAAATTTGATTTAGCATTACCATTTTGTTCGTCTCTGAACTAGCCATTAAATTGAGTGCAGTACTAAGCATAAACAAGAAGAATTACATAAAGTAATGAAGTCTACGCAAGTCTGATAGTTTGAAAATAATGTGATTTGATGATAGCCATATAAAACTAAACTTTGTACTTCATAGATGCTGAAGATTTCTCTTTATAATATTTAAGATTTGTTCACAAGTATTGTATTTATTAGCATTTTATAAGGGCAGTACTGTTTAAAAAGGATATATAGTAGTGTTTGACTGTATGTTAAGAATATTGAATATAAATGTTATTTTTTTCAAAATATGACTTACTAGAATTTGCTGATACTGTTTGAAAAAAACTCTAATATATAAAGAATAAACTAACTTTCTTCTTTAAAAGTTTTGACGCAGTTTGAGCAAATGCAATGGAGGAGGTCAGTGACTACTTTTGGTCAAATTAACTTCAACCCCATACAACAAATTATAGCCCGATTATTTATGGCATTTGTGGGTGTCTATTTGCTATGCATTGGGTTTCAGTTGGTGTTTATATTTGTATATCTATGCCTTACTGGATATGTGATGGCCGACTGAGTACCTTGAGTGGATGTTTCTGGATGAGGGCGTGAATGCATCCCCAGTTGGCACTGTATTAACCAATGATGGTTATATCTTATATATACTGGAAGAGGAGATCAGACTAAAGGTCCGAGTAGCGTAACTGGCAATGTGTCTGCACAGTAAGCAGGAGTTACAGGTTAGAGTCCTGCTTCAGGCTGATTGTTCTCTTCCAGTTTAATCTAAATTATTTAATTAAATACTATAATTATTAATTTTAATACAAGATAGCACCTAATGCCTCCTTCTAGTGTCAAATTCATTTGTAATTATTATTTCCAAATTATAGCCCAATTATTTACGCATTGTGGGTGTTTATTTGCTTCAACTCCATTTCAACAGCCCCCTTTTCTATCTGACTAGTGAGATAATGGCATTCAAATTGGAAAATTAGTTAATACAAAGTTACCTGTGAGCACAAACTATCTTTAGAGGATTTTTGAAGGTGCCGTGTTTAAACATTTAGTCCATTTTTCACAAAATTTCATTGGTTGGCCAATAACCATTTCATACTTTGTCGTAGATGATACATTAGAGTTAACATTAGAAAAAATTGGATGTATTGAATTATCTTCTCATGCAGGAGTAAGTCAAACACTATTATCTGTTAAAAAGCATCAATTCCTGTCTGCTTGACTAATGAAATAAAAACCATACCATCCAAGTATCATATTATTAGCAAGGTGATATTCAGATTGTTGAACATTACACATTCTAAATAATTTGCTTGAGGAAGACAGTAAAGCATTGTTGAAAGTGCTTAATTGTGAAATTGACATAAAGTGTGCTTTTGATTTTATTAATTTCTGCCTTGTTTGTGTTAATTAGAATTTTTGTTGCTAAAGATGAGTTGATTTGGCTGGAACTACAGAAATTCCAATTTTTATATAATGATATGGATTTATAATTTAATTACATCAATAATATAAGCATTTAAAAAATAAGTGTATTAATTAGTGTAAATAATAATTATAATTAGTAAGTCTAAAAGAGCTATATATTGTTATTATTTTTATGATTTCTGTGTAATTCCTAACATTGGTTTATTGGTAACATTAAAAAGTAATAAAAATTTTTTTTGTTGATATAATCTATATTAAGATAGTAAATGAACAAAAAGTTTTCATGTTACAATATTAAAATCAGTTAAATATATATTTAGGTGGATAATGCATTTTACATATGGTCATTTCAAGGAAGATTATTAAGGAGAAGAAATATGGAACGTTTTTGTCAACTTCTTTGGAGGCCTCGACCTGCTACTTTATTATCCGAAGAAAAGATTAAGGTAATTGCACTACTATTAATTTAAATACACAATTTATCAATGAAATTTCAAAGATTGCAAAAATTTCTGGAGTAGAATTATTTTTATTAAACTAAAAATACACCAAATAATTTGAAATACTTTGGAACATTTTTCTCATATCACAAAAATACAAACACAAATTAATTTGACCTTTATGGGCTTTATTATTTATTATTATATGATTAGGAGATCTTGACTCCAGAGGAATCTTTGAAAGTAATTTTTTATAGTTTTAGAGCAGAGAAAGAGCCTATAAGTTTACCCTAAAACTATGAAAAATGTTTTGTGCTGTAAACCATGTAAGATGCTTTTTACATAATAATGTTGTCAAGAGCTGTTAGAAGAAAGAATGCTATTCATTATGGTAAACATGTCAAAACAACTGTTACTTTTAATTTTGCAAGCTACAGTACACAGTTCATTATCTCATTTACTTTTACTAACATTTGTAGTCACTAATGGGATTTGTAGATAATATAAATTAATTCTAAGTTATATTGAATAAAATTATTACTTAAAATACTTAGAGAACTATTTGGGAACATAACTTTTCCATGTAATACGTCTATGTAATCCAACAAATGGTAGACGGACTCACAGCAAATTTTCAATTAGGAACTACAATTTTATTCTCAAAAATGACAAATGCATTTCAGGTTGGCTCAATACATCCCAACCCCTCCTCAGTGCTAATTTTTATGTATTGATAAGTTTTCAAAAATATTAAACAGTAATAATTTAACCTGAAAACACTGTAAAACCTGAATAAAATAGAAACCTAGTAAATTGAAAAACTTCAGAACAACAATTTTCTATGTGAAATTTTGCAATTTAATCTGAATAAGGAAGAAAATTAAGATTTCACTTGTAGACAAATCAAGTTGACTCCAGATATAATGGTTATTGCAGAGTATGACAAACTGCACTCAGTATTCAAATACCTAGCACAAGTTCTCAGAAATATATTTGAGAACTTTTTAAAATTGAATAGTTTTTAACTTTAACTAAAAAAAGTATTTAAATGCAGAATCACTTCAGATTAATATGGATTAAATATGTAATAGAAGTGATTTTACTATAAGAACGAATGTAACTGTATTTATCTGGTATAATTTAAAGGTAAAAAAACAAAAATACCAAAATTTGTTTAAATGGAAACTTGCCAAAACAGAAAAAAATTCAGTGCAGGGCACTTCTGGTTTACACAGACTTTACAATAAATACATTTATAATAAATGCTTTTTCAGAAAAACTGTGTTTGTTCATGTGTTACAAAGAGGTCAATACAGACAGATAATATCTTGAAAATAAAGCATAAATTTGCATTACTATAATATAAATGTGTGTTACAGTTAAGATTAGATACTTTGTTGTTTTTTTACAAGTCACCTAGCTTACACCATACACATATTACAAAGATATTAAACTTTATATTTATTTATTGTGACACTATTATGGTTTTAGGATCATTTAAATGTTTTTATGTGTGCATTTATTGTGATTATTAATTTTATTTTTGTTATATTCTAATAAAAATTGGAAAAATTTCGTTTATATATTGTAAAAGAAGTTTCATCAAGAAATTAATTCTCTGTACTTGTTAATAGTTAAAATTAATATACATTTTAATTTTAGTAATATATAATATTTTAATTTTAAATTGCAAGTTTACTATTAAAAATAATTGGTTTTTTTTGTTAATAATAAATAACTTTTTTATTTTTCAGGAAATTAAAAAGAATCTGAAGAAGATTAGTACTCAGTTTGATATTAAGGATCGCATGACATTAACTAAAGCTTCAAAGGTTTGTTTTTGTCATTATCATAGTATTTTAATGGGTGAATTGATGATGAATCTTTTTTAAAAGTTTGTTTAATACAGTCAGTTGAATAGATACAGCAGTAATTTTCATTTATAATAATAATAATTGATTGAAAAGAACACTATTATTGTAATATGAGGTTATAAAATAAAGTAAACCTGCACTAACTTGGACTAAGAGGGTGAAAGTTGTCCAAATTTATGGGAAGTCCAAGGTAGTGGAGTGTTTTCTCTTATGGTATGGAATATGAGAAGATGGATATACTGTACAATAATTTATTATGATCAACTCTATAGAGAAGTTTTACTGAGATTTATACTGCTGAACTTATTTATGAAATTTTTTGAGCTCATTTCCTGTAATAACAGTAAATGTACAGCATTTAGTGACTTAACTACTACAGTAATACAATGCACAGTATTGCAAAGACTTCCAGATATCAAAAACACTCATTAATTATAATTTTTCTATTGTCAAAAAATTTTAAATTACTGTACAATTTTTAAAAAAAAAATTGTCAGAGTTATGTTAAGTCTGAGTTAGTGAAAGTCTACTGTATATTAAAATATGAATTATAATTTTAATAAATTAAGCTGAACAGTCAAATCATAAATCTTTGCTGTGTATCTGTATACATGGATTTTATTTCTGAATAAAGTATTAAATTAGCATTTTTGTAACAGAAACTGATTTATATATACAATTATCATAAGGCACTTCAAGCAGTTTATAGAATAAATTTATTAAAGCTTCTCTCTGATAAATAATAACCCAAAATATACATTAAATACAATATTTTGATTTTATATATTTAAAATTAAATCTACATTTGTTTAAACCAATTATTTTCAGGAACTTGTTGATAAAAGAAGAAAAATGATGGAAGATTTTAGAAGTTATAGAGAAAGAAAAGAAGCGGAATTTGCTGAAGAAAAGCCTCTCAGATTACGACTTCGTAATAGTAAGTAATATAATGATTCATTAAATGTTGTAGAGTTAATCTGAAATAATGTATTTCTAATTTATCAAATATTTCAAAATACTATGTACTGCATATTTAAGTAAGTTGACCAAAAGTCAAATAACGTCAATAAGATAATTAATTTGTTAGTTTTATGCAATATATATTAATTTAAGATTAACACTTTCAATGGTAGATAGAATTTTATGCCTGATGCTTCAAATTTATACAAGCAATATCATTTTATATAATATATTCTATTCTATGTATTACATATATTTTTTGGCACATGCACACATATACAAGCATAATAAGTTATTCTGTAGAAATCTTCTGTAGACAGGATGGTTTTTAAGAACGTACCCGTATTTGACACTGTCTTAAGAAGCAAAAATTTTTAGTTGCTGATTCCAAATAAATAAATAAAGTAATAATAATAATTTTATGCCACTTTATCAAGCTGTAAAATTGTAAACTTATTTATGGCCCACCCTGCATAACTTTATGATTATTACATCTACTTACTTCAGATGATAATTTATTTGGAATATATTTTTTCATAATTGGGTTGTCTTTAGTATATTTTTTAAAAATCAATAACTGTTCAAAAAAAATTTAATTTCAATGAAAATTGATTTATTGGAATCAATAAATCACTTTTATCTTTTTTAGATTAGTCAATTTCTAAAACTTAAAAAATTTATTTTTTGTAGATTTGCATAATTATGTATTATACATTACATATTTATATAGATTAAAAAATTATTAGGCTATTGATAAATGCTACTAAGCATGCATTTAATTGAAATAATATATTTTATTCCGGAAATATTTTACCCTGCTGAGCTATTTTTAGTTAATTATACAACCATAGGGATCAAGTCTAGTCAAATTAACGCTGTCTGGAAGCAAAGATCAGACGCAGATCCAAATAATATACAATAATTGGTAGTATTTGGGTCCAATTCCGAATTGACCGTTCCTTTTAAAAATTTTCTGTATTAATGAAATTATTTTAAAAATGGCATAATGTAGAGATTAGAATTCATATTTTAGCCATTAATTTTGGCTTTGGTTATATTAAACATAGATTTTTGTTTGCTTTAAATAATAATTTATAGGAATTTTAATTGTTATTCTTTAAAAAAAAATCTCTAAAATAATCTTGCATCATGTTATACATTTTGCTTTAAATAATAATTTATAGGAATTTTAATTGTTATTCTTTAAAAAAAAATCTCTAAAATAATCTTGCATCATGTTATACATTATTAAGTCTTTAAAAATAGATACTAATATATTCAATGAATTTTCAGATATAGACACAGACGAACTAGATAGTGAATATGGTAATCTGGAAGAAGAAATAGTGGAATTTTTAATTAAAGAGGACACAACGGTCATCGAAGAAGAATAATAAGTGCATTAGTCTTTGGAAATTGAACTCTTCTGCCAGTCGACATTGTCGAATTCCGAATCCTCCTCGGAAACAGCTGTGCTTGAAAAGATTCAAAATAAAACCAGAAGAAAAAAATTTTTTTTAACTGTTTTTGTTGCAGATTAACTGCAATTTTGGTGGTATTATTGAGAAATGTACGCCATTTTCGACCTTTTTGGTGGCTTATTTCACGAACCGTTCAGAATACGAAATTTTACAATATAAGTTATTTTATTTTGTATCTATAAAATAATATGGTTTTTGTAATGATCCGAGAAGTGGTATGTTTTTATTATGAATGCAATTGAATTGAATATAGTGTTAAAAAGTATGCAAAAAAAAATTAATAAAAAGATTAATTTTTGTATTATTTAGAGTTTGAAGTTTTTCGTTTTATCATATCAAAAGTGGTTTCTATATTTGTATCCCACTGGCATATTTTCTGTTATTTTCTAGTAACGTCGTTTATTTTAATTATATCTGTCGAGATGATCAATCTGGTAATTGAGATTGAAAAAGATGGGTCAAAATCATTGTTTACACAAAGGATCTAAACATTTTACTAGATTAAAAAGAATATTAGGTTGAACGCAAGAATAATGTTACCAAAAAAGGCTTTCATACCAGTGGTATTGATATGTTATCCTGTGAGGCAAAAAAGGGCAATTATCTGGGTGCTCCCATCAACAGAGTGCCTCAAACAAATCTTTCATAAGAAAATATTTCTCCCCGAAGAAGTGTCTGAAGTCAACACTGTACCTGGGGACCCCTTATTGAAATTCGCCTGGGTCCCACGAAGCTATAACGTGTTCATTGTTTCATACTAATTAAAAGTTCGGTTTAAAATGATTTAAGTTTCGGTATAGTTGTTATGGTGTACTTACAATAACATTTAACCTCAAACATCTGGGTTGCTGGGTTTTTTTCTGTGTGAAGGGGGCACGATTTTCTCATTCTCTAAAGCTTTTTGTCGAAATTCTGCAAGAAGTTTGTGTATTAGGGAGATTAATACTATTATTTTGGTGGTTTAAGGTCCACGGGTTGAAAGATAAAGGGAATTGTATCATATCTCGAGTAGGGTCTGACAATACTAATAACCAGTAAAATCAGCATTTACAACTTTTTATAAACCAATCCCCACCCTCAAAATTACGTTTTTTGCCATTTTAAAAATGTAAAAAGTTTTTTTTTTATTATAATTAATAAAATATCGTAACAGATGGCGCCACGAAAGTTTTAAATGTTACCGGGAAAGTTAAGCAACTCGTTGCTGGATTTTTTTTTAGAATATCACACACTCGAGATGGTGCCCGAGAGTTCGCAACGACACGCTGAAACAGTTCATCCTTTTTTTTCCAACAACAAATTGTAATTTTACTGCTTCTTATTCTTAACATTAATTTGTTAGAGGTGCGTATAACATTTACCATAACTCTTTCCTTAACATTGCACTATGTACTGTAGATTTACGTACATATATTGTAAGTTTTCAGCTTCTAACGTAGACTAACAACATACAAATTCTTTATCCAGGGCAGAATGGAACAGGGTTATGTTCTGCCCTGGACAAAGAACGATGGATCGTTTGCCAGAACGGCCTCAAATAGGCCCTTAATTCATGTGCTGGAGTAGAAAGTGACGAAGAAGATATTCTCGTTTGTGTATTTTATCGTTAATTTAAAAAAGTCTCTAGTGGATAGACATTTTTAATACCTTAAGAATCTAAAGAAATTAAAGAAGTTATTAGATTCATAAGAAGTCCGACGTAATCTGTGTGATCACTTCCAGTGTGTAGAAATAAGTACACAACTCCCAATTCATGTCATCGAGTTGTCTGACGAAACATCCAAGTAACAAGACGTAACGACTAAAAACTTCTATCAAATGAATGTAATATATAAAAGTCGATGGCATGTTTTTAAATATAAATGCACTTATTTTGTCAACGCTCTTGCCATAAATAACCAGCAAGAATTGCTCAACTTTCCCGGCAACATTTATAATTTTCGTAGCACCATCTGTTATCATATTTTATTTTTTTAAAAAAAAACTTTATATTTTTAACTATCATAAAGTGGCAAAAAACTAAATTTTCGAGGTAGGGATGGGCTTTATAAAAAATATTGTAAATGCTAATAACGAGTAAAATNAAATCTTTTAGTTTAGAAAAAATTTATTTATTTATTTATTTTGTTTGTTAATGTTTTTATTCTGCTAATAAATAAAGGAGGAAAACACACTTATTTCTAATTACACTTGTAATTTTCTAATGAAAATAACTATTTAATTACATGATTTAAATTTATTATAATTATTTCCTAACCTTTTCACTTAAGGACGACTCTTCCTTCTTTTGAAAATGAATGAAACGTTTTCATCTGATAAATCATGTATCTTGGTAATTACTTGCTTTGTTAAGTTTTCCTCTCTTCAAGTTTAGTTTAAGAACTCTTAAAAATATTATTGAAACTTATAATTACAGTTAGTTAGATTTTAGTAGTTATATTAAAACACAAAATAATGAGTACTTACGAGACAGATTTATTAATCTCGTGTCAATTTAGATCAATGTATTCCCAAACTCTAAGTGGTTCTTAAATCGCATTTCTGAACGATCTCACCGCCTTCCAGTATACTAAAAAGTAGAAAAGACGAGAAAATATTCATTTAGAAAGTTTAAAAAAACATTATTCGTATGCAAATTTAATTTAGTAATTTCGTTTCTAATTAACACGTGAAAAAAATATCTANATTTTTAACTATCATAAAGTGGCAAAAAACTAAATTTTCGAGGTAGGGATGGGCTTTATAAAAATTATTGTAAATGCTAATAACGAGTAAAATTGTCATTAAGTTCGACCCTTCTGGAGACACACACGACCCTCATTATCACCGACTTATAACCACCAAAATTTAATAGCATCAAACCTCTTAATACACAAACTTTCCTATAAAATTTCAGTAAAATTCCACTGTCGTCCATCTATCTGATTTCTATCCTTCCCCAATCTCGAGAATGGTATTAGATAGATGAAAATCGAGACCAGATATGGAAAGCTTAAGAGCAGTAGGCCATTATTAACTATATAAGAACTTCCTGTATAGACCGAAAGTCACATGATTTTTCCCCAGAACGGAGTTACGTAGATGACCGGCACGACTCTGTTGTTATTAGGTAAAGTATGATTTACAGGGGCAAGGCACTACTAATTTGAGATTGGTAGCATATGTTTTAAATTAATAATAATAATTATTATTATTCTTTTATAACTAACATTATTTATTTAATAAATTCTTACAAATTCCGTTTATCTTTATCAATGTTTTATGCATTTACCATTTACATTTTTCACTACTAAATTTCATAATTAAAATTCGGAAAATGACTAAATAATTTAGGAAATACAACTTTTTATAATATTTTGGATACATTTATAACATTAAACGTGCTTAAAATGTTACTATGTACTTTGTATTAGCAACATTTGACAAATTATATTACTTTCAACAAGTTTTCTATTATATTAACACTGAAATAATTTGTTCTAAAAATATTTTGAAACCGTCATATAAAATACAAGAGAATCACTTATATATATATATATAAATTGGTATGAATAACTCAAACAAACATCATTAATTATTCAAGGATGCAGTTTAATATTTTGATGAAAATTAAAATTAGTTGTCTAACTTAAAAAAAAACATCTAAACCCCATTAAACACTTAATTATTATATTATTTTAAAAATGGCATAATGTAGAGATTAGAATTCATATTTTAGCCATTAATTTTGGCTTTGGTTATATTAAACATAGATTTTTGTTTGCTTTAAATAATAATTTATAGGAATTTTAATTGTTATTCTTTAAAAAAAAATCTCTAAAATAATCTTGCATCATGTTATACATTATTAAGTCTTTAAAAATAGATACTAATATATTCAATGAATTTTCAGATATAGACACAGACGAACTAGATAGTGAATATGGTAATCTGGAAGAAGAAATAGTGGAATTTTTAATTAAAGAGGACACAACGGTCATCGAAGAAGAATAATAAGTGCATTAGTCTTTGGAAATTGAACTCTTCTGCCAGTCGACATTGTCGAATTCCGAATCCTCCTCGGAAACAGCTGTGCTTGAAAAGATTCAAAATAAAACCAGAAGAAAAAAATTTTTTTTAACTGTTTTTGTTGCAGATTAACTGCAATTTTGGTGGTATTATTGAGAAATGTACGCCATTTTCGACCTTTTTGGTGGCTTATTTCACGAACCGTTCAGAATACGAAATTTTACAATATAAGTTATTTTATTTTGTATCTATAAAATAATATGGTTTTTGTAATGATCCGAGAAGTGGTATGTTTTTATTATGAATGCAATTGAATTGAATATAGTGTTAAAAAGTATGCAAAAAAAAATTAATAAAAAGATTAATTTTTGTATTATTTAGAGTTTGAAGTTTTTCGTTTTATCATATCAAAAGTGGTTTCTATATTTGTATCCCACTGGCATATTTTCTGTTATTTTCTAGTAACGTCGTTTATTTTAATTATATCTGTCGAGATGATCAATCTGGTAATTGAGATTGAAAAAGATGGGTCAAAATCATTGTTTACACAAAGGATCTAAACATTTTACTAGATTAAAAAGAATATTAGGTTGAACGCAAGAATAATGTTACCAAAAAAGGCTTTCATACCAGTGGTATTGATATGTTATCCTGTGAGGCAAAAAAGGGCAATTATCTGGGTGCTCCCATCAACAGAGTGCCTCAAACAAATCTTTCATAAGAAAATATTTCTCCCCGAAGAAGTGTCTGAAGTCAACACTGTACCTGGGGACCCCTTATTGAAATTCGCCTGGGTCCCACGAAGCTATAACGTGTTCATTGTTTCATACTAATTAAAAGTTCGGTTTAAAATGATTTAAGTTTCGGTATAGTTGTTATGGTGTACTTACAATAACATTTAACCTCAAACATCTGGGTTGCTGGGTTTTTTTCTGTGTGAAGGGGGCACGATTTTCTCATTCTCTAAAGCTTTTTGTCGAAATTCTGCAAGAAGTTTGTGTATTAGGGAGATTAATACTATTATTTTGGTGGTTTAAGGTCCACGGGTTGAAAGATAAAGGGAATTGTATCATATCTCGAGTAGGGTCTGACAATACTAATAACCAGTAAAATCAGCATTTACAACTTTTTATAAACCAATCCCCACCCTCAAAATTACGTTTTTTGCCATTTTAAAAATGTAAAAAGTTTTTTTTTTATTATAATTAATAAAATATCGTAACAGATGGCGCCACGAAAGTTTTAAATGTTACCGGGAAAGTTAAGCAACTCGTTGCTGGATTTTTTTTTAGAATATCACACACTCGAGATGGTGCCCGAGAGTTCGCAACGACACGCTGAAACAGTTCATCCTTTTTTTTCCAACAACAAATTGTAATTTTACTGCTTCTTATTCTTAACATTAATTTGTTAGAGGTGCGTATAACATTTACCATAACTCTTTCCTTAACATTGCACTATGTACTGTAGATTTACGTACATATATTGTAAGTTTTCAGNTTTGAAAATGAATGAAACGTTTTCATCTGATAAATCATGTATCTTGGTAATTACTTGCTTTGTTAAGTTTTCCTCTCTTCAAGTTTAGTTTAAGAACTCTTAAAAATATTATTGAAACTTATAATTACAGTTAGTTAGATTTTAGTAGTTATATTAAAACACAAAATAATGAGTACTTACGAGACAGATTTATTAATCTCGTGTCAATTTAGATCAATGTATTCCCAAACTCTAAGTGGTTCTTAAATCGCATTTCTGAACGATCTCACCGCCTTCCAGTATACTAAAAAGTAGAAAAGACGAGAAAATATTCATTTAGAAAGTTTAAAAAAACATTATTCGTATGCAAATTTAATTTAGTAATTTCGTTTCTAATTAACACGTGAAAAAAATATCTAATTAATGAATAAATTACGTATTAATTATAAAAAAAAGACGAGTAATATTTAATCATATTCTTAATTTAAAATATAAGCTTTCGATTTCAAATGTCTTCCTCCTGTAAATCATACTTTTCCTGATAACGACAGAGTCGTGCCGGTCATTTATGTGATTGTATTTACAGGAGATTTTTAAACTAGTGTTATATGATAGTTAATCCGGGCCTCCTATCCGCAAGCTTTCATTATCTGGTCTCGAATTTCATCTATCTAACGCCGTTCTTGAGATTAAGGAAAGACAGACAGACGAACGACGGTGGGAATTTATATATGTCCACAATTTTTTCAAATTGCAGTGCAGCCCAATAATTTTTGGGATAAATAAATGGATTTTTTTTAATAATATAAAACGATATTGTCAGATTTTTATATCGTAAGTATAAAATATTTTATACTTAAAAAAATAAAAAATATATATATATATATATAAGAAACATAAGAAAAGACAATGTTATAAATATTTATTACGTGTTAAAAACGAAATTTAAACGTTTTATTTTCTCGATATTTATTTTAAATGAATAATATATAAAATATAAAAAGAAGAAATTGCTAAAGTTTTATAACTTGTTTAATATTTTAAGAAGAAGAAGAAGAAAAAAAGCATTAAACATTTTCAGGAATTAGTTATAAAGAGGATTTTAACCTTTATTCTCATATTTTCAATGAGTTAATACGTCTTGCAGAAATGCAATCCATAAAACATAATTATATAAAAATTATTTAAAAATTTATAATATTCTAATTGTTTTAAACGTAATGCAATCAATCATAATACTTAAAGACAATTATTTTTTTTTTAAATCGGTTCTTCATCGATTAAAAAAGTCATGAATTGAAATGCAGTTTATTTAAGATTTTAATCGACTTCCATTACAATTGTGTGAAGTTTTTTTTTTTATTAAATGTAATTTAAAGAATTATCAGTGAAAAATAATCTTTAAAAAATTTAGCAGAATGTTATCCTTTATCGTTTCCATAAATGGTACCGAGATCTTATCACGTGATCACCAAAAATCGCCAAACCTCGCAGAGCACAGTGGGAACGGTTGGTCGGATCGATAGACAGGATTGTCAAAGCTACAAGTTAGTAAAATCGTATGTGATAAACACACACACAGAAGAATTTACGTAATTATGAGTTTACGTATAAACTACGTCCTTATTAATCGTACAGCAGAACGTAGTGTGAGAACATTGGTTTAAATGGAATGGAAAGTGTTGATGCTCCGCATTACGTCACACCTCTGTTCTCTGCGGTTCAATCAAGTATGGTGGATCAGGTCTTTTCGGTTGTCATGTGAACTGGAATAGCGCATCAAAGGGTGAGTCCACTCTCTACTTATTTATAAATGTAAAATTTGTTTTAAAGTGAATATGAGTAAAACTTCTTTAATATCATTTTTCAAATTGAATGATGAAATATGAAAGTTTAAAAATATATATTTCTTTTCGGTTCGTTTTCTAAATACTTAAAGGAGAGCTTTTTTTTATGTGAAAATTGATTGGGTTTTTCCAAAATTACAATTTCTATTTAGAAGTGTATTTTGAAAAAATGGATAAAATAGTGGAAGACCAAGAACACATAGTTGCATGATCGATTATTGCGGAGATGTGCAATGAGATGAAGATATAACGTCCAACCCACTTGTTAAATTTTCATTAATCTATCATCATTTATTGGATTCTGATGATAAATTTACATTTATTTTTAAAATTTTATTTAGTGGGTATTCTGTTATAATTGAATTTTTTTTAACATGTTTCAAAATGGATGCCATTTCTTACCTCTCAGAGTACATTTTCTGAATTGGAGATCATTTCATATTGCAAAAAAAAAAAAAAAAAAAAGGCAATAAACTATAATAGATGCTAGATAATTTATAAAGTGTAAAAGGACACAGCAATTCTAGGGCAGAAATATAAAGCAGAAAAAGTCGACAACTAAAAATCCGAATATTTTTAAGCACGGAGCCCTTTTATCGACATAAACTTTTAAATGGAATTCAAATTTTTGTCTAAGTACGTTATTACTCACTGAACTGGCAATCTGATCGAACGTAATTTTAGAATTTCTCGACTTTCAAGGAACCAAAAATAGTACAATTGCTGATTTCTGTCTCTCTCTATGCACTAACAATAAAACATACTTAAGCTGTTTAGTACTGATTATGTCTAAATTTAAATGCAACTATAGAAATTTATATATAGAAACAAACTCTGAAACAAAATGACATTTTCATTCATATGAAAATTTTTCTACACTTGAATGAGTAATTTTATATTTATTTATAAAATTCGTTTTTTCCTCCTTCATTAAACTTATTTTGAAACTAGTTCACACTTTCTTTACTTGTATTCAAAGAATTTTTAATGAGCTAAAGCTTAACTGAGCTTGAAGAGTTAGATTGCATGCCTTAAGTGTTCGACTACTCAAAATTTTCCTATTTTAAATTCAAATTTTAAAATTTGCGTGTCAATTTTCAATTAATTTTTTCGATCAATTTTTTATTATTATTTTTTAATACTAAAGATATGCAGAATATATTCCAGGAAGTAAAATTTGTTAAATAGGTTTTAATTTACAGCTTATAACACTTATACATAATGACGCGAAACAAAAGAAATGAGGGCTCGGACATTTTTTGCAATTAGACTCTTGTACTAAATGGGTTAAAATGTATTACAAACGTTTATTACGAAAACTAGTTTATAACAAGGTCCTAATGATTCTACGCAATCTCTCTCTCTCTCTCTCTCTTTCTTTTTTGTTAATGAACTTCTACAAGAAAATTCTTACATAATTCCAAATAAACATAAATTAAATAATAATATTACTAACAATTTACTAGATTTTATTCTGTAAATTTGAGGCGGTTTCTACTTAACCATATATAACCAACTTAGAATTTTTGAAATTTGTATTCATTGAGAAAACTACTATTCATATGTATGCTAATATATAAATATAAATATTCAAGAGAGAACGCACCACACAATGAACACAACTTGTCTATCAGATCTCGACTGACTAGTCGACGAGATTATAATTTTTTTTATGAATAATTCATTTAACATTTACGTAAAAATTCAAAACTTCTTAATAAATAAAACAATTATAAGTGTAAAACTTACAAGAATTCGTTTTTCTCACGTGCCTGACGAATAAAGTATCTAATAAGTCTTCGATTTTCTGGCTGTCNACGTTAAAAAAAAAAAATAAAACCGTTGAAAATTATTAAATTTTTACCGATTCTAAGTTTGGATTCTTTCTCTGTTTTCTCTGAAATTAAACGTCAATTAAATTATAATCTAAATAGCAATATGAATAATCAATTGAAATGTCAAAAAAATTTATTAATTTGTGTACAATTAATTTAAAAAAAATGTCAAAGATCTAAGTGAAGAATCTTATTATTTTTTAATTTAATTTTGAATAAAATTAAATTAAAATGCTATTTTTACAGACAAAAATGTCATTTCTGCCTATAAAAATTGCATTTTCTTTTTTTTTTTAAATTATTATTTATAATAATTTCCTTTGCATTAAAAGCATTCACTATTTGATTAATTTAATTTTCTATTTGCTTAAATAATAGACTTTAAAAAAAAAAAAAAGATTATAAAATCAGAAATTAAATCAAGTCGATTTTGCAAATTAAATAAATAATTTAAAACTTAGAAAAAGAAAAGAAAATTTCATTAAATCTACTTTGTTCAATAGAAATTGCATATAAATTATCAGGTATAAGAGCATAAAGTTCGAAACGTTTAAGAGTTTTATTTATATATTTAAATAAATTGTTCGTCGGTATTCATTTACATAAAAGTTACGTAAGAAATTGTACTTATTAATAAATCCAATGCCAAAGTATATATGGAATAATGCCAAAACATGTGAAATTGTAGATCTGTATAGATTATCAGAAAAAAGGAGGAAAAATAAGATAAATAAAATAAACTTGTTCAAAGAAATATCATTATTTAATGCGTTTTTAAGAGCTGTAGTAAATTCTTCACTAATTTATTTATATATTTGATTATTATTATTATTATTACTTTTCAAAAAATTATAAAAATATTTTATCGATCAATATTAATTAATGTACGGTCACAGAAGGAATAACATTTTTCCACCTCTTCTTCTTTCTTATTCGAGTAGAAAATTGGCAAGATTCTCCTCCTTTGTACTGTTTATTATTATCCAAGTTGTGCTCCTGTTAAATTGAATAATTTATAATCGAAAAGAAATTACACGAAAACAAAAATATTAATGTTCTTTTCTCTTTTATAGCATTGAATTATAAAGTTTAAGAGGGTGGGAGGGGGTAACGGCTATTGAAAAACTGCAAGAAGTAAAGAGATTTGGTCTTTCATACCAGTTACAATATCGTTGCTGTAAATCATAGTGATGTTATTTCGATTACCGATATGAACTATAGAAAAGAAATATATTTTAACATTACGTATCTGTATGGAATATATATATATTTTTTTCCTTCGTTGTCAAAAAAGAAAAATAAATTACACTTCAAAAAATTCTATGTAACATTCGTTAGATATTCCATCGTGCTTTCAGATTAATTTAGTTTTTTTGTATCGGTAAAATAAACTATGTTTCTGTTGAATCGTGTGAGATAAACGTGATGCGATGTATCAGCATGGAAAAGAAAATAATAATAATAATAGTAACAACAAGGCACCATTCGTCAATCAATATTGAATAAAATATTGTATTTTATACTTAAGAATATAACTCCATTCGTCATGTAGATCTTAGTTTCTCGGCCATCTTGAAAACTGTAAGTTTTTATCGATCAATTCTGGCTTCATCATACTGCAGTCTTCTTGCTATGTCCATTTCTTATTTGGAACAACTGACTTGCCTTTATAAAAAAAGAAAAATAGAATAAGAAACGTTAAAAAAAAAAAATAAAACCGTTGAAAATTATTAAATTTTTACCGATTCTAAGTTTGGATTCTTTCTCTGTTTTCTCTGAAATTAAACGTCAATTAAATTATAATCTAAATAGCAATATGAATAATCAATTGAAATGTCAAAAAAATTTATTAATTTGTGTACAATTAATTTAAAAAAAATGTCAAAGATCTAAGTGNAATTATGAAAAAAAAAGTATGGCATTTTTGCAATAAGAATAAATTATCTTGATAAACTTATAATCAATTAAATAAAAATATAAGTGTAGGCCTTCATTATAATCATATATTTTTAATTAAACGTATTTAAAAAAGTAAGAAAAATGATCGAAAAGTTGAGATGTAGTTTTATATGATAAATGATAGCAACATATTGTACGATGTATGAAAATAAAAATAAGAAAAACAATATAATACTGTAAGTTAAATTTATTAAGCTATAATTTTAAAATACAATTAAAATTGTCCTTTAAATTTTTTAAATTATTTTTACGATTACTGCTTAAATATTATTTTAATATTCTACTTGTTAACCAATATGATATATTACTATATTAATTAAGCTAGTTATTATATTTTTTTATTTAGTAAAATTTAATTATTATATACGATATGAATATAAAGTGTATAAGGCTATTTTAAGCGATAATGGCTTGAAATATAAAATTAATTATTGAATTATTAAGTTTTATTTAACAGGTTTTTAATGTTCTAACATTAATACAATTTCGTGTAGTTTTAAATCGATAAATAAATCAAAATAATTAATAAAAACCGAAAGAAACTACTGGAAACGTAATAATTAAAATTCACAAAAATAGAAGAATCACACCAAAATAAGAGAGTCGTGAAATTTCGTCCTTTACTCACTTCTCCTAAATACAACAAAGTTGGCCTTTATTTTGAGACTCTTCTCTGCCTCAATACGTAAAATTGAGACGGGTGAGCGCCTCCAGAGTGACCTTTTTAATCTCCAAAATAAGAAATAATATCTCAACCTCCGCTAAATCCCTTTCAGTATCTCGAACCTTCTGCATTTTCTCACCCTTTCCCACCGTGTCCATCCACTCCATCCTTTCCCACCGTGTCCATCTTTTCTAAATACTCTCATAATTTAGCATTTTTTATTTTTTATTTACCATCTTCTACTTGATTTCCTCCTTTGTTTTAATCCCAATCTTCCCTACATTTTTTACAGTTACAGTATTTAATATATATATATTCCTACTATTGTCTGGCATAACACGGAGTGATAAGATCGTTGAAATCAACATCAGACGGAAGAAAAAATAAGAAAAAGAAAAGAAGATCAAATCCTCCATATAACATCGTTTCGTTTCCAAGAGATGCGAAAGGAACGAAATATGAAAACACTTTAACTTTATTATTGAATGTTTCTTCTATTTTTGCTAATTTTAATTCAATATAATTGAAATTCTAGTAATAAAGAAACGTGTAATTTAAAACATTTTACGTTATAGATTTTAAATTTCTAATACTGTAATAGAACTATTGACAAAAATCTTTCTCCCCCCCAATTTATTTCTCCATTAAAGATGATGAATATTTTGATAATTGAATAAAATATAGATACGGAGGTGGAAAGAATGATGATAGATATGAATGATATATATACTTAGAAAGACTTAAGATGTTCAAAAATTAATATTACTTCATCTCTTAGGAAGGAAAGACTTCGCGAAAGATAACGTAACATTAATAATTTATTCGAAGATATAGAAAATATAGGATGATGCGAGAAAGAGAATGGAATGGTATTATGTTATCTATGAGAGTAAGCAGGTGGTTAGCAATTTACACGAGTTATACGTTCTGATAGTCCATTTAGATCACTACACAACTAATATATCATAAGTAACTGTTCAGAAAAATAACCGTAAACATTAACACATTATATAAAAATTTTATAATAAAAACTTAAATTTGAATACATTTAAAACTTATTACTTTTGTGAATTCATTAATATATTGTAAATAGATAATTAACCATATGAAATAGCATACAACATCATTTTTTTTTTTTGACCGATCGCCATACTTTCCCCTTTGTTATATATAACAGAGCCATGAAAGTATATAAAAAGAAGAGGACATTTCAAAAAACTAGAAAGATAAAACTATATTAAACTTTGATGAGAATAATATATATGCAGAATTCTGGATTGCATTTAATATATAGTCAAATATTAGTTAAATCTGATCAATAAACTTGTCGTTGTGTTCTGTATGTTAATGAAGATATGACAGCTGTGTAGACACCAGCACACACAGTATATATCCGATGGTATCGATGTCAAAGACAGAGTAATTAAGTTAAATAGAATATATTATCGTTAATAGTTATACTACACGCTTTTCCGATTGTTAGTAATTTAACAATGTGGAAAAACTTGTAGTCTAATTAATTTAATTACGAAATTAGTTTATTAGTTCCTCGAAATATATTACAATGACATGTCTTTGCGATGAGATTGCTAATTGTTTCCTTAATGTTTTGATCTGTTGTGGGAAGCTAACAATGAAGTAATATTAGAAACACAGTACTATTGTTGGTACTATAAAATTTGAAAAGAAATTGGGCTGCAATTTTCCAAAATTCTAGACCTAAACTGGCTGATTAATCTCGAGAACGGAGTTAGAGATAGATGAAAGATGAGACTAGATATGGAAAGATTAGAGGCAGAAGGTTCCGATTAACTATATACTAACTTCCAGTTTAAATCGGAAGTTACGTTATTTCAATTCAAAGTTTTCTCCTGAATGGAGTTAGATAGACGACCGGCATGGCTTCGTCGTTAGCAGGAAAAGTATGATTTACAGGGGACGGACACTACTAAAATTGAGAGCAATGCGACGAAAAATTGCGGGCAATGTCACAATAAATAATTGCTCATTAAATATATTTTATCCTTCTCTAAACTAACGAATCTATAATATTTCTTTATAGATTCTTCCCTTTTATTTTAAAAAATTCTGAATGTTTTAGCTCAAAATTATGAAAAAAAAAGTATGGCATTTTTGCAATAAGAATAAATTATCTTGATAAACTTATAATCAATTAAATAAAAATATAAGTGTAGGCCTTCATTATAATCATATATTTTTAATTAAACGTATTTAAAAAAGTAAGAAAAATGATCGAAAAGTTGAGATGTAGTTTTATATGATAAATGATAGCAACATATTGTACGATGTATGAAAATAAAAATAAGAAAAACAATATAATACTGTAAGTTAAATTTATTAAGCTATAATTTTAAAATACAATTAAAATTGTCCTTTAAATTTTTTAAATTATTTTTACGATTACTGCTTAAATATTATTTTAATATTCTACTTGTTAACCAATATGATATATTACTATATTAATTAAGCTAGTTATTATATTTTTTTATTTAGTAAAATTTAATTATTATATACGATATGAATATAAAGTGTATAAGGCTATTTTAAGCGATAATGGCTTGAAATATAAAATTAATTATTGAATTATTAAGTTTTATTTAACAGGTTTTTAATGTTCTAACATTAATACAATTTCGTGTAGTTTTAAATCGATAAATAAATCAAAATAATTAATAAAAACCGAAAGAAACTACTGGAAACGTAATAATTAAAATTCACAAAAATAGAAGAATCACACCAAAATAAGAGAGTCGTGAAATTTCGTCCTTTACTCACTTCTCCTAAATACAACAAAGTTGGCCTTTATTTTGAGACTCTTCTCTGCCTCAATACGTAAAATTGAGACGGGTGAGCGCCTCCAGAGTGACCTTTTTAATCTCCAAAATAAGAAATAATATCTCAACCTCCGCTAAATCCCTTTCAGTATCTCGAACCTTCTGCATTTTCTCACCCTTTCCCACCGTGTCCATCCACTCCATCCTTTCCCACCGTGTCCATCTTTTCTAAATACTCTCATAATTTAGCATTTTTTATTTTTTATTTACCATCTTCTACTTGATTTCCTCCTTTGTTTTAATCCCAATCTTCCCTACATTTTTTACAGTTACAGTATTTAATATATATATATTCCTACTATTGTCTGGCATAACACGGAGTGATAAGATCGTTGAAATCAACATCAGACGGAAGAAAAAATAAGAAAAAGAAAAGAAGATCAAATCCTCCATATAACATCGTTTCGTTTCCAAGAGATGCGAAAGGAACGAAATATGAAAACACTTTAACTTTATTATTGAATGTTTCTTCTATTTTTGCTAATTTTAATTCAATATAATTGAAATTCTAGTAATAAAGAAACGTGTAATTTAAAACATTTTACGTTATAGATTTTAAATTTCTAATACTGTAATAGAACTATTGACAAAAATCTTCCCCCCCCAATTTATTTTCTCCATTAAAGATGATGAATATTTTGATAATTGAATAAAATATAGATACGGAGGTGGAAAGAATGATGATAGATATGAATGATATATATACTTAGAAAGACTTAAGATGTTCAAAAATTAATATTACTTCATCTCTTAGGAAGGAAAGACTTCGCGAAAGATAACGTAACCTTAATAATTTATTCGAAGATATAGAAAATATAGGATGATGCGAGAAAGAGAATGGAATGGTATTATGTTATCTATGAGAGTAAGCAGGTGGTTAGCAATTTACACGAGTTATACGTTCTGATAGTCCATTTAGATCACTACACAACTAATATATCATAAGTAACTGTTCAGAAAAATAACCGTAAACATTAACACATTATATAAAAATTTTATAATAAAAACTTAAATTTGAATACATTTAAAACTTATTACTTTTGTGAATTCATTAATATATTGTAAATAGATAATTAACCATATGAAATAGCATACAACATGAAAGTAGTTTTTCATATTTTTATATCTATTACTTACTTTTAAATAGGGCTAATTATTATGTGATTTATTACTATATATTCTTATAGGTCTTATATTTTATTTTTATAACGTCATTTCTTTCTTTTATATTAGAAAATAGATGAAACTTATTTATATACCCGTTTATTTTAATCAAAAATGTATCTTTTCGTCAGTTTTTTGATCTTAGATAATGGACCTGCATTGCAGCCATTAAATAAATATAGAATTTGCCTATATTATGTCTGATTAAACGCAAGTATGATGTTATTGCGATAAAATTGTCATCGATTATTTCTTAAAGTAATTAAATGATTAAAATCGCTTCACCTTTGAAAAATTTCTAGTCTTATCCGATGAAAACGTCAACTAAATTAGATCGTTAAGTCTATTGATTTTTTTTCCCCCTGACAAAATACTTGATTTAGCTAATAATTATGGTCTTACATTACAATAATGGACCAACACATAAAGAGATCATTTCATCCCAGATATCACCATTATCACCCGAAAAATAAAGAAGAAGAAGAAGAAGAAAATTGCAATAAATCAATTATCATAAATTTATTTTTCATGTGATAATGCCTTTCATTCATTATTATCGTTGTAGACAACTCACATTGTCAATAATGTCTTCGAATTAAACATTGTTATTAAACGTAATTAGAAATTCAGAGAAATTAAATGTAGAAGAGGAGGAGAGAATAAGTTTATAGTATAAAATAACAGTATATTCTGCAATAGATTCTTAGTAGATATGAAGAAAAAAAAAAAGAAAACACTACATTAAAAATGACAAATATTCCAACAAAAATCTATAATTTTATTTTCTTCAGGTTTTCTTATATAAATAAATCAAATCTACAGGGAAAAAAGAGACAGACAACTGGAGACCAAAAAAAAAAGTAAATATGAATCCATACTCCAAATCTTTAAAATTTAAATTACTTTATTAAATTAAATGTTACAACCGAACGTGTTTTCTTTTTCTACAGTTGACTTGCTTTAAAAATGATTACTTCAAATAACATTTAAACCGTAAAATAATGAATTTAATACATTTCAATTATCTTGGGTTAAAATTAATAAGCTCATATCTGTTTAAATTTAATCAACGTTTCCAATTATCTATTAATTAATAATATAAATTCAGATTATATTAATAAATGCCATTCGAAATGCCAAATAATTGATAGAAGACGATGTTATAAGGAGTCGTCGATTTAATTTTTTTTTTAATAATAAAAATTGTAAGATAGACAGACCTACATTAAAATTCAGTTCTTACTTTTATATTTTTATTTTTAAGAAAAACTGCGTAAGAAAACGATAATTTTACAGGTGTGAATACAAAGATTCAATGTCAAATAAATAATATAACATAGTGTTTTATATACAGGATGTTGCTATATAATTTAAACAGGTGTTTTTCTCGCGTGAATTTAGACATGACAATTTTCTTTTTAATCATTCATCGTTTGAGAATTGTAGCTTTAGAAATAACTTAAACGTATGATATTATAATTTGTTAACTATTATAATTTCTCCTAATCAATACGTTTTTTTTTTTCTTTTCTTCAATTAAAGAATTATTCTCCCCAGTTTATGTATAAACTAGCAGCGGTTCTTCAAAAATTATACAGTAAATGCATAAAAAAAACAGTATTTATCTCTATTTAATATTTAGCTTTCGCATCATAAAGTATCTGTTTGCTAAGATTTCTATATGTTAAATAAATATACTTATTTTACTGTTAATCTCTGTTTGCTTTACTAATGTAGTGTTACTTGTTAGTTTTTCTGGTATTACATTTATACTAAATAATTAATGGAGAAAGGCTAAATACTAAAAATAATAAAGGTAAAATTTGTGTGCAAAAAAAAAAAATACTTCATTAATTATCGTGCAGCATCACGTGTACGAGTTTAATTATTAATAATGGTAAATAACATAAGCAGATTAAGTCTTACTGTATCTGTATTTAATAATAATAATAAAAAGCTTCTACGTATTGATATTTTAAAAATTAACGTCAATATTTAATCAGAAATTATAGCTCTATAAGTCTTAGAAAATCCGGTTATTTCACGAAAGAGCTCACGAATTTATATAATATTTTAGATTCTTTTTTTTTCTCTCTCTCTCTCTCTCTCTAACGTCCTTATATTTTGAATTGAAACGTCAGAGTGTGATATTGAGAGCAATTCAGCTAGTGACATTATCTACTTCTACGACTTATAAATTTAAGTTCTGACTTGTCATAGTGAATTTTTTATCCATTAAAAATATTTTCTCATAATGACTCCTTAAAATATTATTATTGATTTTTAAATTCGACTGAAAATTATTTCATCTAAAGAAAGAAAGAAAAAAAAAAAAAGCCATTAGTTTGCACCGAGTTCGTTTCTGAAATGCTCAAAACACGATTTCACATCTTTATTATTATTATTATTTGAGAAAAATAAACAAGAAACGAGCAAAAGTTATTCTGACATCGTCACAATACCGGGCTGCAATTTTTAATCGTATTTTTAATTTATTTAATTTAAAATATATGCTCTCCATCTCAAATTAGTAGTGTATTGCCCCTGTACATCATACTTTTCCTGATAACAAAACAGTCGATCGCCTAACTAACTCCGTTCAGAGGAAAATTTTGAATTGAAATCACATGCTAACTTCCAGTCTATACCGGAAGTTAGCATATAGTTAATCGGGGCCACCTGCCCCTAAGTTTTCCATATTTTAATCCCAACTTTTACATTGTTCGTGTCTCCAAATTTTTTTTTTTCAAATTGCAACCCAACAAGTTCGAAATCGAGTTTATCTATATAATTTATTCACAAATGAGTTGATCCGAAATTAAATTTTATACGAAGAAAACATTTCCGAAATTAAATTTTATATGAAGAAAACATTTCCGAAATTAATGAGATATATTATTAACAATACGAGCGAGATCATTCCGAAAACTTTCGTTCAGTATCATTGAGTCCACTCTATTAAACCCAACCGATATTGTTCTGTTTCGTTTAGCTGTCGTTATTGTTACTGCTGTAAGAGCTACAATTAAGAGCTTTGTAAATATGATTGATAATACAGTGTGTTGCACATTACGGCACAATTAATTGAAGATAAAAAGAAAACATTCCTCACATATTTTTCCTTTTAAATACTAATTTATACGAAATTTTCTATGAGATTAGATCTAATATTCAGTAGGGTAATTTTGTGTTTAATAATACAGTATTATTTTTATTTTATTTAAATTCTCACGAAATAAATCCCTACACTAGGGATGGCGAACCTTTTTGTGCCCAGGAGTGCCAGATGATTTCTCTTGAGGTGCCATAGTTTCGCACTCCTGGGCCTACACCATTAAGTGTGTAAAATTAATTAATAAAATGATTAAATATTAATTGCCCTTACAAGAATCACTAGAGATTAGAATTAGATCTTAAGGAAAATCCTATTAATTTAATGTCTGTAATTTATTTTCGTCTTAATATTATTTATTTATTAAAATATTTATCGAACTCTTGATTTAGCTAATAATTATGGTCTTACATTACAATAATGGACCAACACATAAAGAGATCATTTCATCCCAGATATCACCATTATCACCCGAAAAATAAAGAAGAAGAAGAANAAAAAAATTTTAAGTTTGTTTGAGCGAATAAAACTGAAATTTAAAGATATATATATATATATAAAAAAGAGTCAACGTTAGCTGAAATTACCTTTATAACAACGTTTTCAGATGAATAATCGTGTAAAATATTGTAAAAGAGAGAGAGAAATTCTGTAAATTCTTTTACAAAAAAAAAGGTTTAGTTTACTTAATTTATAGTCGACTATAAATTACATTTTCTAAGTTACAGAATATATTTATTTTTAGCAAAAATGAAGTACAAGTAGCTTTCTGAATAGGTGAACATTTATAAAATTGTTCATAATTTATTTTAAATAGTTTTAAAACGTTTAATAAATTGTTATTTAACTCAATATATTATATAAATATTCAATTAAATAATATCCTTTAACAAAATTGATCAGTTGTAAAATTTTATAACGTTACACGTTAAGAATTAAATCGTATTTTTGGAATTTCAGTGTTAAGATACGTAAAAAAAGTAATTATTGTAATTCGTGTAAAGCATTTAAATTAAGTAAATGCAATAAAAATATTTGTATAAAGTTGCTGTGAAATGAGGTCGAGGTCTTTTTTTTTTATTTAAAAAAAAAGCCACAAAAGAACAAAGTGAATACATGTATTTTTTTTTCAACAGTAACAACTATCATCAATCGTATTTTCTCGTTATAATCTGGTTTGCCAAAGATAAAAAATAATAATATATATATATATAGCTCATCATTAAACTCTATTATTATAGAATTATGTTCTATACAGTTATGCAGATGTAGTGCAATTAATATTAATAAAACGAACTGTACAATAATTTGATTAAACAATATTTACGGATAATTTGTTTAATTTATGGACAGTAATTCTACCTTATAAATATTCATTTAAAATAAATTAAGCATATATTTTAATCATATGATTCGGTTGGTAAAAAAATTTTACAATTTATTTATTTATTTTTTTAATAATATATATTATCTTTATATTAAATAATAATAAAGATATTAAAAATTTATCGAGTGAAATATTCAATTAAGAAGATTAATTCTTAAAAGATTATCTTAAGAAAAAGAAGGAATCTTTGTTGTTTTCCGCTCTTTAAGTATTCGTAAGAGTTTAGGATAATTATTTACTCGATTGTTATTGAATTCCTTTGGGTATAGAAATTGTATTGATCGATTTCTTGCTTTGAGCTGTTTGTATAGACTAAAGTATTCTTTCTTATAACGACCAATCATTTATAACAATATAATAAACTTGAATTAGGAGTTGTTATCGATGTTTCTAATAAAGAAATTTTCTTTTTAGATAAATCATGATTTCAGCAATGCCCGCTGTTGCCTTGAGAAGGGAGAGGAAGAAGATCAAGCAACCTCCGAGCAGAAATAGCAGCTTGACTTCGCTGTCGAAAGGAAGGTTACCTCGATATAAGAGATCCACAACGCAGAGTATCAGCACTATTAACAGTCTACAAGAAAGTCAATCCGGACCTATATATATATCGAGACACAGGAAAACATGTTACATCGAAAAGGAGAAGCTTCGCATTTTGATGTACATTGGAACGATATTCTTAATGACTGGCTTGGTTTTAGTTTTTGTTGGCGTTGGTGCTAATGTATCCACTACTCACACTATAGGTTTGTGTTTTATTGGCATTGGTTCCTTGCTGTGCTTAATTAAAGTATTCTGCGCCGAAAGTCAGTCCGATTTTGGTAGGAAAACAGTCGTGGCCAGAGATTCAGCAAATGAAAATTTGACGCCCACGTCGCCAGTTCCTGAAGAGAATGATTTCGGGACAGATCATATGCAATCCCTTCCATTATCGCCAACTGAAGAATCCAATGTTACGAGCAATCAGACTAACAGTCTAACTCCAACCAGTTTGAACAGTATTCCTGAGACTCAAGTACTCATCAACGAAGACAAAGAAAAGTTTTGAGAAACCCGAAAACTGAAAGAATAAACACAAACCATTTGTTACATTACATAAAAATTATTAGATGAGATTATATGACGTTCGAAATACGTCTTTTAAAGTACAGTATTGTCGTCTTTTGAACTATGTCTAGTTACTGAAATTCAGTGTAGAGTAGATACGAATTATAAGGCTGATAATTTTGTTCTATTCGAAGGACTAAATTTAATAGTCCTTATGTAGCTCTTGTCCATTTTATGATAAAAATACCTATCCTAAAATATTTATCATGCATTCAAATTGTACTAAAAATAATTACATTGTATATGTTATTAGAGAGCATAGAATACTGTACGTAGATAGAAAAAAATTGAAATATATGTTCATTTATGCTTTTTGGATTCTAGTATTGAATCCTACTAAATTTTAACAATTTTTCCATAAAAAAAAATATCTATCTTTTAATTGAAATACAAAACAAAAAAATAAATACTTGCTTAGCTACTACTTATTATTTTAATGGTGTATTTAAATAATTATTATTAATGTTGTTGCTACAGTTAAAAACATTGTTAAAATATATTCATACATAAATTTATTATTATTATTATTTAACTTCAGTATTACATGTGTTGGCGGAATAGGCTGGATCAAATCGAATAATTTAAAATTTTAATTAAAAAATTCATTATTTTTTTAAGAACCTAATAGAAATATAGATAAAAAAATGATCCATAAAATCAATAATAATGCCAATTTCGCTATCATTGTTTAAGAATAATAAGTAAAAATACAGTAGACCCCCCTATAACACTGTTGATAATTCCTTTTTATACGAATTCCATGTTGTACGAGTCACTTAGATTTTACAAATACGTGAGCCGTTCACAATCCGGCACTCGTATTTGTAAAATCTAAGTGACTCGTACAACATGGAATTCATATAAAACGGAATTATCAACAGTGTTAT